ATATACATAGATGCTACTCGGCACAGTAGCTTATATACAAGGTTGCTACTCGGCACAGTAGCTTAGATACATAACCTACACGTGTGGCCCTGCAGGTGGAACAAATCGGCCACCACTTGTTGAAAGGGATACTCTGGCGCTGTGGTCAAGACCAACGACTCCGGAGGCTGGGAAGGGGCGAGGGTCTCACAAGTAGCACACCGGGACTGATGATACTGCAGGTCACCCTCCATGCCAGGCCAATAGACAGATTGCCGGGCCCGCCTGAGCGTGGAGTCGAGGCCCTGGTGCCCCACGTGTAAGTTAACGGCGACCCGGTGGCGGGGAGAGTCGGGGATGACAAGGCACACGCAGCCCTGGTCAAAGGTGTAGGTGACCAAACCCCTGACCAGAGCCAACCTGTCCCTCACCGAGAAGTACGGGCACAGACAGGCCACCTCCTGTGACTTGTGGGGGCGCCAGTCGCCCGCCAGCACCCCCGACACAAGCATCTGGTACACTGGGTTGTCCGCAGCCTCTTTGCACACTGTGTCTTCGTCCATAGTGATACACCCATCCTGATCCAGTGCTGTGATTGTGACTGCACACACTGCAGCGCACAGGTCCTCCTCTTGGTCCATGTCCTCCGCCTCGGGCGCCGCCCTGAGGGAGGGGAAGTGGCATAGGGTGTCAGCGGCACAGTTCCGCTTCCCTGGAAAGTACTTGACCGTGAATCGGTACTGCAGGGTCTTCTCCTTGAGCCTGAACAGGCGCGGATTCGCCACATCCGTGAGGGCTCTGTCCCCTAGCAAGCCAACTAAGGGGCGGTGGTCCGTCACCAGAATGAGGTTCGGGCAGCCAAGGAGGAACAGCCTGGCCTTGTGCAGGCACCATACCACTGCCAGGGCCTCCCCTTCTACTGCAGTGTAGCCGGCCTCGGACGTGCTCGCATGTCGGCTACCGCACAGAGCCAACTGCCACCCTCCCCTGCAGCAGAAGGGCGTCTCTGGCGAAGCACAGACACAGTATTGTTGCAGGACGACCAAGCCGATGCTCCTCCCTGCTCCAATCAGTGACAGCTGCCGTAGGCCTGGATTTGTCGTAGTACACTAAGCCGTCCCTGGCCAACTGACAGATGGTGTCCTGGGCCTGGCGAAACTTGAGCCGCAGCTGGTCGTCCCAATACACCCTCTCACCCATTGACTTATTGAGGAGCTCACGGAAGGGCTCCATCACAGGTGCAGTGGCAAAGGAAAGGAGCCAACTGGTTAACCAGGCCATGCCAGGACCTGATGTCAGTGAATGATAGCTTATCAGGCATGGGAAAGTCCTTGATGGCTGACAGACGTTGGGCAGTGGGCTGGTAGAGGTCCCAGCCCAGGAGGTAACCCACAAACTGGGCTTCTCCCCTGCAAATCGTAGGTGTGCCAGAACGCCCCCTTCACGCTGGAGTCGTAGAGGAGAGTGACATCCACGCACTTGTACTTGCGGGACACATCCTGAATAGCGTCATCAAACCTCTTGGTGAAGGCATCTGACAGTGAACAATGTCCCATGGGCGTCCTGCAGTATCGAAAACGGCCCCACGGCGTGATGAATGTGGTCAGGCATCTACTCTTCTCCTCCAACTCCACCTGATGAAATCCCCAGAAGGCGTCGGCGACGGTTCTGAGCGAGTGCACTGGCACCCCGAACACCATAACTAATGGTGCAGGTGTGTGGTGCGTCTCCCTCAGACAGCTTACATTGAGGCGTTGGAAGTCTACAGTGCGCCGGGCTGACCGTTTTTCTTGGCCACCACGACCATCCTGGCGCACCACTCCGTAGCCTCACCAGCAGGCACTGGCTGGATGATGCCTCTCCTGGCGTCCTCCTCCAACTGGGCCTTCACCTCCGTTTCCCAGTGTTTCGGAACGGGAGCGGGTGTGTGACAGGCGTAGGGGGTCGTGCCGGGCGTCAGGTGGATACAGTGAGGGGGACCAGTCATGACTGGGAGTGGGGACCTGCTGGTGTTGAATGTGGTGGATGAAAAGTGCGTGAGCAGCCATGCCTCCAACCTGGCCACATTCTCCTCCAAAGGAGGGACACGGCTGCTCTCAGTTCCAGGGTTCAGAGGTAGGTCGTCGGCAGTGTGATGCCCCCCCCCCTTCATCGCCCACGGCAGCCACAGAACGCCTATGGAGCGGGAAGTCAACAGGCACCAAGTTGAGGCGCTTGCAAGCCTCCAATGACAGGCAGAGGGCCTTGGCTGTCTGCAAGAAGTAGACCTCCTGGACGGTGGTCTCCTCGCCCACACTGAGGCGGCAGGAGGCAGACCCCAGACACTTGACCTGTTTGTTCGCCACATCCATCAGGCCATTACGGTCCCGAAGTTGCCCCGGACACAAACCGATGTCCTGGAGCAGGGATGGCCCTGGAGCATTCACCATAGCACCCGTGTCAGCCACAGCCAGCACAGGGGTGGCGGGGGAATTGCCCCCAGCCTGGGTCACGAACACTTGTCACCTGGGGTGGCAGGTTAGCTGGGCTGTTCTAGTTGAGACTGAATGTGAGAAAGACCAAGGTGTGTATGTTGACAATGAGCTGAAGTTCTCGGGCCATTGCGAGAAGAAGGTACACCAGGCAAATAAATTATTGGGTCTTATAAGAAGGTCATTCAGATATCTAGACGGTCCGTCCCTCGTAACGATCTTCAAGAGTGAAGTGCTTCCCCATCTGGAGTGTACTGTCACCCCGTTTGGTCCCCGAGATATGCTAGGGACTGTCAGTTGGTTGAAAATGTTCAAAGGAGGGCCACCAGACTGGTGCCTGTACTTCGGCACCTCAACTACCCTGAGAGATTGGAGTGCCTGAACTTGCCTAGCTTATACTACAGACGGGCAAGGGGGGACCTAGTTGAGGTGTATAAGCATCTCAGGAGGCACTACTCACTCGAGTGTCCTTACTTGGAGCTGATGGACGCTCGCCCCACAAGGGGTCACAGCTCAAGATTGAAGAAGCCGCAAGTCCAGAAAACTGTGAGGGCAAACTTTTTCGGAGTGAGAGTTGTAAACTCTTGGAACAATCTACCAGAGAATGTTGTGACGGCACCGAGTGTGAGCTCTTTCAAGACAAGACTTGACCAATTACATTGGAGCGGGTTCAGGTACATTCAGGAGCCGGTGCATGCCCAGTATTTGCCAACAGTGCGTGACAGAGACGTGACCGATCGCCCGGGCGGCTAGCAAGCCGATCTTTTAGTGAAGAGGATAAATGAAAAGGGAAAGTAATCAGAGACGTGACGGATCGCCCAAGCGGCTAACAGCCGATCAATGGCGAAGGGGATAAAAGTAAAAGTAAAGAAGTTCAGGCACTCCAATCTCTCAGGGTAGCTGAGGTGCCGAAGGGCAGGCACCAGTCTGGTGGCCCTCCTTTGAACATTTTCAACCAACTGACAGTCCCTAGCATATCTCGGGGACCAGACGGGGTGACAGTACACTCCAGATGGGGAAGCACTTCACTCTTGAAGATCGTTACGAGGGACAGACCGTCTAGATATCTGAACGACCTTCTTATAAGACCCAATAATTTATTTGCCTGATTTACCTTCTTCTCGCAATGGCCCGAGAACTTCAGCTCATTGTCAACATACACACCTAGGTCCTTCTCACATACAGTCTCAAATAGTGCAGTTTCTTCATCCCGTTGGGACATATGATACACCTACTTACCGTTGGTACGCCACAGGTGCATCCTCTTACACTTCGTGACATCGAATCTCAGCAGCCATTTCTTCGACCATTCCTGGAGCCCACAGAGGTCCTTCTGCAGCTCTTTACAGTCCGCTTGGTTCTTGATTTCCCGAAATAACTTGGCGTCATCGGCAAACATTTGTATGGAGGAGTGTACAACGTCAGGCATGTCATTTATGAAACAAACAAACAACAGCGGGCCCAATACACCGCCCTGTGGTACCCAGCTTGTGACAGGTACAGATGATCATTTCGTGCCATTAATCACCACACACTGTTTGCGGTTGGGGGTGCTGGTGGTAGAGTGGTACCGCTCTTGCCTTCGCAAGCGAGATGTCACGGGTTCGATTCCCGGGCCGGTGGATATTGTTTGGACATACTTCCTAGCCCCCATTAGTCCCTGTTCACCTAGCAGTAAAGTAGGTACCTGGTTTAAATCGAAAGTTGCGAATTCGTATTCAGGGACAAGTTGTTGCAGCTTCCAATAACTTGATGACATAAACCATTGACTCTCCAGGCTTTTATGCCCTTGACTCTTCAGGCTTCAACGCCCTTAACTCATGAGACATAAAGGCAAGCATGAACTTAGCATGCTTCCCTGTTGGGCGCTGTAAACGCTTCTGCGCTTCACCTTGCACAAGGCTGTAGGGGAGTGCCCAATAAAAAAAAAAAAAACTGTTTGCGGTCATGTAGAAAGTCTTCTATATAAGAGAGAAAGGCCTCAAACCACGTCAGTACTACCAATCAATAGCCGCCCTCCGGTGGGAGTGTGGGTCACTCACACGGCAAGGCAGGTGGGGGATTTATATGATTCTTCCGGATCAAGAAATGAGGTGCGAAGTGAGCGGCGATGCTGGTTGGCTGAGGCTAGGACGGCGGAGCGGTTGTAGGGAGCGTAGGTTACTACAAGTTGACTTTTTTGGGTACGATTCATCTTGGGTACGAGTTGTCATGGGTACGAGATGACCCGAACATTGTTAATGAATCTGGACCCTTACCTACTGTAATACCTACAGTAGACGTAGATGAAATACTGCTTGGAAATTTCATCTGTGATATTACTGTGTTTTGATCTCTATAATTTATTACAAGAGGAATTAATATTTCAAGTGACATATATTTAATTTATCAAAGACACGAATTAATATTTTGTAATATGAATGTCATGAAAAAGGTAAATATATATTTTAGCGTAATTACATCTCATGTAATATTTTATTGTGGATAATATATAACTTATAATATTATATACATATATTGATTAGATGTATTTTAATAATAATTATATTCATATATTTCAGGTTAAATATGAAGGCAGTGTGACGTCATCTTGTACACAAACTCGGTCTGTCTGGGTGGAATAATTTCTCTTGGCTGTTGACGAAGACCACCACCACGGTAAGTCCTCACAACCACTCCTAGTGCAGTATTATTAACGGTCTTATTTGTGATTTTATGACTTTATTTCTTTGTCCATTGTCTGTGAGCAGGATCCCGTCTTGTTTACTTGAAGCTGTTCCTTGTGGGTTAGGTTAGGTCGGCTGGTTCCTTGGATTTGAGAATATTTTTGGGGGTAAATTTTTACTTTAGGACATGAGTCGTTTGGGGTTGACCAATATGTTTTTCCAGTGTATTTTGATGAGTTTTAAACGAATCTAATCTTTATTTTTGGCGGAAATGGACAGTTTTTGATAAATTTCCATAAGCGCGTCCCACTCTGTTAGAAAGTCAAGAATATATTTGATATTATTGCGTTTACACACCGTTCATTCCTACCACTAATCTATTATCATATTCGAATAAGACGTCTAATTATAAGATAATTTTCATCTATTACATTACCGGGGGAAACGTATAACAACGGAGATAGCTTATCCAAAATTTTCTCTATTTTCTTCCATTAATCTTCCGCCATTATCGCCTACCTCTCCTCCAACACTGCGTGTCTCCTGCGTCTCCTTCATAAATCATCACGCGCATGCGTTCTCGTACACATTACGCGGCCAATCAAAAGCGTTTTTGTTTTTGCAACCAATTAAAATGATTTTGGGTTTAATTCACAGTATATTTGGCCCAATCAAATTCGAGTTTTACTTTGGGTCTCTCATATTTCGAAATTCAAGTTCAGTAACTTCAGTTCCGACCATGGCAGTCTGTGATGGGTGTCACTTCCATTATATGGAGCTGATTGAGAGTTTTGGGAAAAAACGAAGAAACTATAGCATTTTTTCGATCGCATGGTGTTCTTCCAACCTCAGTAAAGTGTACTAAGAGCAAGACTGAATGTAAATATTGCAAAGACCAACATATGTGGCGTTGTGTAAGAATCTCAGAATCCAACGACGAACAAGAACCAGGCCAATAAGGTAAGAAATAGGTGATTCCATCATATGGTGAGTCAGTTAGGTTAGGTTAGGTTTGGTTTGGTTTTTGTTTCTCTAGTGTTTTATGATGTATTTTGCCATGATTTTTTTTCGTAAAACGTCCAACGAAAAAAATTCGAAAAAACCCGCTAATTTCCCTCAGAAATGAAGGTCATATTCGGTCTAAACACACACAAATACACTAGAAAAATATATTTATGACTTTCTAACAGAGAACGGTGTGGCAATGCAAATTTACCATATATTTTTCTGGTGTATTTGAGTGTGTTTCAACCGAATATGACCTTCATTTCTGAGGGAAATTAGCGGGTTTTTTTTTTTATCGATTTTTTTTTGAGACTTTTCGAAAAAAATTAGTTGCTAACCGTATAAAAATGCACCAAAACACTAGAAAAACAAAACCAAACCAAACCTAACCTAACCTAACTGACTCTCACCATATGATGGAATCACCTATTTCTTACCTTATTGGCCTGGTTCTTGTTCGTCGTTGGATTCTGAGATTCTTACACAACGCCACATATGTTGGTCTTTGCAATATTTACATTCAGTCTTGCTCTTAGTACACTTTACTGAGGTTGGAAGAACACCATGCGATCGAAAAAATGCTATAGTTTCTTCGTTTTTTCCCAAAACTCTCAATCAGCTCCATATAATGGAAGTGACACCCATCACAGACTGCCATGGTCGGAACTGAACGTGAATTTCGAAAAATGAGACCCAAAATAAAAATCAATTTTGATTGGTCCAAAAATACCGCGAATTAAACCCAAAATCATTATAATTGGTTGCAAAAAGGCTTTTGATTGGTCGCGTGACGTGTATGGGAACGCATGCGCGTGATGATTTATGAAGGAGACGTGCAAGAGACACGCAGTGTGAAAGGTGAATTACCTTTTAAATGGCCGAAGATTATAGGAAAAATCAAGAAAATTTTGGACTTGCTCTCTCCGTTAATATACATTTGCGGCGGTAATGTAATAGATGAAAATGATCTTAAAATTAGACGTCTTATTAGAATATGATAATAGATTAGTGGTAGTAAGTGGGAATGTTTAAACACAATAATACCAATATATTTTTCTAGTGTATTTTGTGTGTGTTTAGACCGAATATAACCTTCATTTCCGTCGGAAAGTGGCCCTTATTTTATCTATTTTTTTCGTGGGACGTTTTCCGAAAAATATAATGGCTAAGCGAATACAAAATACACCAAAAAACACAAGAAAAACATAAACCAAACCTAACCTACTGTAACTGACTCTCACCATATGATGGAATCACATGGTGATGGAATCACCTATTTCTTACCTTATTGCCGTCTCTTCTTTTTCTTTGGGATAAGGGACGAGTTAGGACAACGCCACACATGTTGGTCTTGACGATATTTACATTGTCTTGCACTTAGGCAGGGCTGTCCCTAGGAGGGTGCTGGGCCCGGGGCAACTCAGCCACTGCGGGGCCCTAGAAAAAAAAAAAAAAAAAATTTATATATATATATATATATATATATATATATATATATATATATATATATATATATATATATATATATATATATATATATATATATATATATATATATATATATATATATATATATATATATATATATATATATATATATATATATATACACAGTGACCCCTCGTTTAACGAACACCTCGGTTAACGTAATTTCGATTAACGAACTGCCTTCCATAAGGATCTTCAATTCGGTTAACGAAAAAAAATTCGCTTAACGAACTTCTTACGAACCGACCTCAACATGTTTTCGCTTGCACTGACCGGGCAACCAGCTTTAGTATCAGTCCGCCAGTACATTAATCGGTTCTAGGGCTTAAATTCCTTACTATTTTTGTAAATATCAAGAAGTTTATACTATTCAATAATTTTAAAGTTTAATATTCAATTTTTTAGTCATTTTAACAATTATTGAACAAAATTGAAGGTAAAGTGACAAGTTTAATGCGCGGCATCCAGCCTCTTAATACAGCAAACAGGCGTCAGTCTCTCTTTGTTTTCACTGGAGGTAACATCTTGCTTGAGACTCTCTTCAACTAAACGCTTTTTTTCTGTGTTTCCAAGCAAATTATTGGTCATTTTGAAATATATTTTATATATTGACAATATATAATGCAGTACAGTGTTGATTTAAAGAAAATAATCTTGAATTAAACCAGAGAGCTAAAATTTTATGGGTGAAATGGCACCATGGGGTGACTTCTCTTCCACCCCAATACCTTCTCTTCTTCCTTCTCCTCCACCCCCATTCTAACTCCCATCATCATCATCATCATCCAGGAGCCTTCTACATACACACCTCAAAGTAAGTGAACTTTCTACCATTTTTGTTGAATTTAGGAAATTTTCGGTGAGCTGGAACCAATTACCCAAAAACCCATTGGAAATAATGCCGAGCTCAAGACCCAGACTGTTTCAAGTTAACGAACGACCTTCTGAAACCTGGAGTTCGTTAACCGAGGCTGTATATATATATATATATATATATATATATATATATATATATATATATATATATATATATATATATATATATATATATATATATATATATATATATATATATATATATATATATATATATATATATATATATATATATATATATATATATATATATATATATATATATATATATATATATATATATATATATATATATATATATATATATATATATATATATATATATATATATATATATATATATATATATATATATATATATATATATATACAAATCAAGGTGTATATATACAGAGGAGGGTGAGACCAGGTCCACAATGGTCAGGTATTAGGTAATGACCCTACTAATCTTTAAATAGCACACAAGGGTTGGTGGTAAGGTCAGATGGTCAAGTGACCCGGCCTTCTCACCTGATCACAAATCTTCTTAATTACAAAATTGTCCAGCTTGTACATGCTGTTACTCAAATTCATGTTGAATGCTTCGGTATGTTTAATAAGACTAGATTCTATGATGTTCCTACTATCAATTGAATTACATGGTAATATTGAGGAGGCATTATCCCCGTCAATGCAATGCTTGTTATCCCTCAAATGAACAAACAGAGCATTGGATTCCTGGTCTGTCCTAACACTGTATTTGTGTTGTTTAATTCTAGTTGCAAGATCTTTACCTGTCTGGCCTAAGTAAAACATATTACATTCCTTGCAAGGAACTTTATAAATGCAACCAATTGTGTTGTTGGGGGAGTTCTTGATTAACATTTGTTTAACAGTGCATGAGTTTTTAAATGCCACATTGACATTCCAGGTTTTTAGCTGTGCAGGAGTGTGTGAGAGATTTTTGTGAAATGGTAATATTAAGATATTCTTATGGTCATGGGCGGGCTTGGGATCAGTTCTATAAAAAAAAATTTCTTAGTAATGTTTAAGCATTTGTCTATGAAAGATCTAGGGTATTTAAGGTTTGAGCCAATATTATATATATATTTGTATTCCTCATCGATGAATTCCGGACTGCAAATTCTCAAGGCACGTAAAAACATTGTTGAAAATACTGACTGTTTGACTTTATTATGGTGGGCAGAATAATAATGAATGTATGAACACACATTAGTTGGTTTTCTATAAATACTGAACTTAAAAGTGTTACCTATTCTGTGTATCAGACAGTCTAGGAATGGCAATTTATAGTCATGCTCTAATTCCACAGTGAATTTGATCGAGGGGGCTAAGTTGTTAAGTTGTGGCAGGAAAGCTTTTAGGTCCTCATTACATGGCCAGAGACATAATACATCATCAACATATCTAAACCAGACTGCTGAGGGTGGTAAAATATTACTTAATAGTTTCTTTTCAAAGAATTCCATATATAGGTTGCTTAATACAGGTGAGAGTGGATTACCCATTGCCATACCAAATTTTTGAGCATAATATTCCCCATTGAATTCGAATTTGCAATCCTTAATACATAGTTTGATGAGTTCGATGAAGTCGTCTTTCGAGACGGGCAGTGAAATGTTA